ACACTGTCCATTTATAATTTTGAAGTTCTTTACATGATTATATTTTTGAATAGACAATAAAATGATTTAATTTATTGTTTTTAATTTAATATTACAAATATTCACTTATTTTACATTATATTAAATTTTTGGCCCATGCAATACACGGAATTGAAGTAAAATTAATACAAAATAAAGTTCAATTTAAACGACAAAATTGAAGTTTTAATTCATTTTGATGTTTGGTTATATGCATTGATGATAATCCCCCATCCATAAACTTTTTTGCCATATTTATTAATTTAATTTTATGTTTTTGATGTAATATGGTTGTATATTTATCTTATCTCAGTTAATGTAGAAGTTTGGCGAATCTTCTTTATCCGTAGCTAAAACGTGATTTTCTAGTAGTGTTAATAAATTTACTGTAACTCAATGATGCCATTAAATCTCAAAAGTTTATCAGGAGCAACTTTACTTTTAGTAATAAAATAAAAACCTTATGTTTTTCTTAAAAAAAAATAATTTTCCCATAAAATTAATATTAAGGAAAATGACAGTTTTAGTGAGAAAAGATACGTAGATTTGAGCAAAAAATCAGGATACTTAACGGATTTATTAAACTTGATTATATTAAATATAATAAAATAATAAAATTAATTAAATAAATGACAATTATAACTATCAAATGAGCGGAAAAACATTTCTAGGGTTTACCAGGAGCAATCTTACCTTTATTAATAAGATACATAGATTTTGGGTCAAGAAATCTGGATACTTAATTTATTAAACTTGATTTCGGGTTTTACTACTTGCAGTGCGACTTCATTTCATTTACAATTTTTGAAGAAAAAAACTCACAATTCCCTCAAATCCTTTTCGATCCATGGTTTGTGCATGAGAATTTCGTATTCCCTAACACGAAATGAATGGAAGTATTTTGTGTAAAGAAGCACCACATAGTGTTTCTTTCATGATAAAATGTAAACGTATTATTGTACTACAAGGAATCATCGTATCTAATTTGTGCTTTTGTAGTCAAAACCTAATATTTTAGCATAATTTAATTTTATTCTCAATGTATGTATATATATATATATATATATATATATATATATATATATATATATATATATATATATATATATATATATATATATATATATATATATATAAACCGAATCCTAATTCGTATGAAAACATAGGATTTTAATCGAGGAGGGCTCAAATCGAATATAATAGTACAGTTTGAATCATAAATCGTACGATTTTAATAACCTTAATAGCAATCATACATGAAATATAGTAAATTTTAAACATTTGTTACAAAAAGAACGAATACAATTTAGTACGGTTGTCACTGAAATTAAAACACGAAATCAAATTAAATTTAAATTACAAACTACTACATTTGAAGTTACACATTAAAAAGAACGAAAATACAATTTATTATGATTTTCATTGATATTAAAATAAGAAATAGAATTACATTAAAATGCAAAATACAACATTTCATAATCTACATAATGAGCGGGTGATGGTTATGATTGCCATCACTAACACTTAGTCGCCATAATTCATCATCTTTGGACTTCTTGGCAATTAACTTGAACGGGCAATGATGTTTCTTACGTCGTCCATGTTGATACCTTGGACACTTTAAATATTGAATATTCTCCCTTCTTGATTGAATACAAAATGACGACGATGACTCATTGTAGTTCTTTCCTCCACATAATTAATGCCTCCCTACTATGAAAAACTGCATTACGTTGAAAGAACTGACTGTAATCATGAGATTCTTGATGTTGCATAAAAGATAATTGTATTAAATGTTAAAATAAATGATTTTTTTCTTAGAGATTTCATGTAGGACTACACCATTTGCTTTGTTGCATTTCGTGTAATCCTATACGAAATGCATCATTTTTTTCGTGGCATTTCATGTAAAACAACACGAAATGCTACAAGATTTTGGTGGAAAATAGTAAGTAAAAGAGGGATAATATTAGGTAATTGATTTTTATGTTTGGTGGGAATGTAAAATATTAGATAAAGTATTTTAGAGCAAAAATGGGAAAAAGATGAATTCAAAGAGGGAAAATGGGTTTTTCTCAAAAAAAAGTGGGGAACACCTCAAGTAAAATTTGAACATCGTTCTTCATTCCCAAGACCATGTTTTCGATCTTGTGTCTGTTATCAATAAATCTCCACTCTATTCGCCCGTTTTCTCTCTCCTCCCCTTCCTCTTATCTCCTTATCTCTTTTTTCTCCTCAAGTAAAAAAAAATTCCACAAAATTATTTCCATCACTTTTTTTTCCCGAGAACCAATTATATACATAGATTTTTCAGATTCTTTCTTTTCATTTGCTTTTGCATTTTCATTTCTCTTAGTTTCAAAATGCATGAGAGTCTTAATATCCGCACAACCAGAGTGATTAATGACTCTAAAATTACCTTTCAAACATGTTCCCATTACGAATCAAGAAAAATACAAAAACGTCCCATTGTATTGATCGGAGACGCTCATTGCGACTCAGGGATAGACTAATAAGTGAGTTATTTATATGCAGTATTTTCTTAGTGTCCCTCTAAAATTCAAACTAACTTTTTCACTCTTGCAAAATCACTTGCACTTCAATGATTAGAGTTTCAATGAAATTTTGAATTAGAACGACAACTCCATGAATTTCTACTATTTATTTTTTATTTATTTTTTATATATTACCTCTTTGGTGAAATGTGTCGTCTCTTATGATCAATTATTAATACCACTAGACCTAAGTTTTGATGTTGGGCTCCCATATAATATGACAAAGTAAACATGCCCTTAACATGTAATCAGGAAAACCAGTGCAAAAGGCAATACCATATTGTAATAGAAATTTAACCCAATGTGTGGAGAACAAGGCTGCAGTCATCTTAGTACCAGAAATTAAATGAATGAAGTGGTTTATTATCCGACTCAATTGTTAAAAACTCGTTCGCAGCTCAGCCTATTTACACATTTTTTTTCTTCGCATTCCATAAGATATGAAACTTGTATTGTTCTTGAGCTCAAATAAAAAGGAAGTATCAAACACATATAAGACAGCAAGCCACGTAAGCTCAATCAGTGTTTGACGACTCGAATAGAACTCGTTAGAATCCAACTCATTTACAAAGAATTTACAGCAGATTTAATTTCTGATATTGCATTAACGATTCAATAGTAGATCATGCGTCCATTAAAATAAAAACAGTGTCACGAATCCAGCAGTTGAAGAAGCATTTGAAAGAAGGATGAGAATTAAGAATGTACAATTAAATGGGAGACGAGAATCAATAGATAATGATGTTAAGAAATGAGTGAAGCTAAGTATCATCGGCATCACTTCCTCCAACGTGGGCCCCATGGCTGACCCAATAGTTACTTCCGTCGGGGCCTGAAATCTTAAACCTGTTAAAAACGGAAACACGGCTATCTCAAAAAATCGCGAAACCATATGCCTTCGAACTAATTCTTTTTTTTTTTTTTATAGTTTGAAAATTCAGACACAGACAGACCGCTCGAGCACGGATTTGCCTTCCTTGTACTTTTGATTCTTTTCATTAGCAGTTTCCTGAACATGATCATAATATTTGTTATGACCAAGGATGTCAAAACATATAAATAATTGCTACTCGATTTTTCTTTGAATACATTCTTAAAGGAGCTTACGTATTTCCATCCAACATTTGAACCACATTTGACGCAGAAGATATCTGCGACTACGTGAGATCCAGTCATCATCATCCTCTCTTCCTTTTCACCAAGAGTCACATTTACTCTGTGTCACCAAATAGGAAAAACAAAAACAAGGAATTCAAGATGAATGCCGTAATCATATTGTGTTTCCGAATGGATTTTCTAATTTCCTTTGGAATACAAAGCTTTCTTATTTGCGCACTCTCGTTTTTTTTTTCTTTTCTCCCTTCTCATTGGCTATAATTGCTTGTTACCAATGATTAATCCCCATTTCAAAGAGGCAATTGCTCTACATATATATTAAATTAGTAGATATATCATCATTCTTACAACAGTTAGTAGTACCCCACCCATTAATCGAACATTGGAAAATTCAAGAAAACTTATATCTGACTCTACATTACAGCTTAATAGAAAGAAAGTGCAACCAAAAAACGAAAAAAATAAAAGTGGCAGAAGAAAACAGAAAGAAAAGTGTTGACGACAAACCTATTTAGACACATGATAGATGAAGTGAAGTCATGCCTTGAGAAAGTGGTAAAAAGAAGTGATGAGAATCAGCTGCACAAAATCAAGAAAAACTTACACCTTATTGAAGAGATAAGCCTTCCCATGCCTGCACTGAAACGACTGAACCCAAACAAACCAACAACCAAATTCAATTAGTCCGACGACCAAAGGACCTTAATGCAATTATTAAACTCTCATTGTCAAATTGGATTCGAATTGCAAGATAACTGTTTGATTCAGAGAAGAGTTATTAATGGGCATTGGTGGAAATATCGAAAGAAATTATGGGAAAATAAGGGTTTTCTACGAACTCAAACAGTTATTGTGCAATTCGAATCCAATTTGACGTTCCTTATCATTTTCACAAGCAATAGCAACACATTCGAGATTCAACCTCGCAAAGTCACGGAAATTGCCAAGTATACGCTACGAAAAGTGGTATGCATTACTGTAAAATATGTAACGAAGGACGGATAAAAGATTGAAATCTCGCCATAAACGGAAAGCGAAAAACTAGCACAAAAACGACACATTGTTAAATATGCATATGAAAATCAAGATCAAATTACTCCAACAACACATCAAAAGATCCTCAATAGAGAAAAAGTCAACTACCAACCAAAGAAACAGATCATTCTGAACAGCTCCAATTTAATTATGCAAAACAAAAATTAAGATCAAAGAACCAAGAAACAATAAATTAATTAAATAAAAAAAAAGTGATTTTGTTTATTCGGATTAAATTGAAAGAGAAGAAAAAGGAAAAAAGGAAAACCTTGGAGACGATGTCTTCACTGAGGGCAAGATGAGTAGCACAGTACTTGCAACTGTAGATCTTTCCTTCAAGACTCACCGTAAACACTCTCCCCATATCTCCCTTTTCTTTTTTCCTCCACACCACACCACACAAATTAATTATTAAAAAAGAAGAAATTGAAATAAAAATCAACACCAACCAACCAAGAATCCCAGTGATTTCGAGAAGAATTTCGAAAAGGGATAAGAGCAAATCCAAGATTAGACGGCAAGGGAAGAAAATTTGGAAAATGGAGAATTTTTTGTTAAACTGCCGACCCAAACTAAAGTGCTAGAAATTGTGGGTTGGGAAAATGAAATCCAATATACACGTATCGTATCGTATGTATAATAATAATGGATGTTATATGCCCCTACGTCATCACACTCTTCTCCACGTGGACCACCAATTGGCTGTAAATTAGGATTAACAATTTAAGGAATATTCTTTTTATGTTATAGAATAACCCCCATTAGCTCGACTCTTATTTACTCCGATATTTAAGGTTAAAACACATTCGGTAAGAAAGTTAATAAACACTCTTAATTTTATGTAAAATAATTCATATTTGACAAAATTAACTCTTTTGTGGCTTTTAAGCTCTCTTTTTATTATTAGTTCATTAACCTGTCACTAATTGTGGGGTAAAATTGAACCAAAAAATAACAGTGGGCAAGTCTGTAACTGAATTCAATTGGCAGGAATTTTGTATATGTGATATAACTGATATTAATCAAACACATTTTCTGTCTGCCTCATAAAAAACAATTATTTCTGAATGATTTGAGGAGGTGGCCACCAATGTCTGTTTGGTACGCCAAGATATACCTGCACCATTATAACAAAAGAAGTATCTAATTTGTGAGCGAGCTTTGTGCGGATCAGATCTATATTCCGTATCGGCATAACCAGCTAACCCTTGGTTAGTTATATTCTTTGAATAAAATAATCTCAAATCCGCAGTCCCCGGAGATATCACAAAATATGTTTAACACCATTTCAGTGTCTCCGGGTTGGCTCAGACTTGTATCGCGCAAGCACATATCGCAAAAGAGATATCATGTCAAGTGCATTGTGCTAGATACATTAACGTTCCGATTGCATTGAGATATGACACTTCTGGGCCAAGTATCTCTTCATCAAGTTTTTAGGTAAGAACGGATCCTTTTCAGGATCTAAATCGTGCACAACCATAGGAGTGATAAATGAATTAGAATTTTTCATATTAAACTTTCTGAGCAATCGTTTAGTATATGCAAATTGGTGTATAAGTATGCCGTTATGTTTATGCTCAAGCTCAATATCAAGACAAAGTTCGGTTTTCCAAGGTCTTTGACCTAAAAATCTTTCTTTAGATATTCAGCTGCATTGGCTATCTCTTCAGGAGTGCCAATCAGGTTCATGTCAACAACATACACCGCTATAATAGCAAATCCAGTTTCTGGTCTTTTAATAAAATCGCATAGGCAAATGAGATCATTTTTATAACCTTCCCTGATAAGGTATTCACTCAATCTATGATACCACATGTGACCCAATTGCTTTAAACCATATAATGACCTTTGTATTTTGATTGAGTGTAACTCACGAGGAGCCCCAGATTTTGGCATTTTAAATCCATCGGGAATTTTCATATAAATATCATAATGAAGTGAACCATATAGATAGGTCGATACAACATCCATAAGACGCAGGTCCATTTCCTCTTGGACGACCATATTTATAAGAAAACGAAAAATGATCGTATCCATAACTGATGAATACGTCTCATCATAATCAATCCCAAACCGCTAGAAGAAAGCTTGAGCTACAAGGCAAACTTATATCTTACAATTTCATTGTTCTCATTTCTCTTAAGAACAAAGACCCATTTATATCCAACGGGCTTTACATTATCTGGAGTTTGAACAATTTGCCCGAATACTTTTGTTTTTTCTAGAGAAGCCAACTCAGATTCTATTGCTTCCTCCTTTTAGGCCAATCATTTCTTTGGCGGCATTCCATTATGGAATGCGGTTCACTATCATAATCATCCTACATAATTTTTAGTGCAACCGAAAATGCAAAATATTATCGATGAGTATCTCATTTATATCCCATATTTCATTGCAATAACTTGGGGGATTCACTAGGAACGACTTGGTTCGAGAATTCATCGATATTTTCCTTTTTTTTATAGGAACAATGCCCTTTGATCCAAGAGGTCTACCCAGTTATTGTCGTAGGGGCTCATCACTCATTTTCGTATGTTCTTAAGTTTTTTGAAAAATTAAAACATAGAATTTCAAAATTTGTAATAAGGAACATTTAACTCCCTAAAGCAAAGTGATGAACGCGTACACGTGAAAAAAGTCCCAGATATACCGAACAAAATCATCATCAAAAGATAGAGCTCGTCAAGAGAAATCCAACAGTGGGTAACCTGTCAAATTCTTACTGTCGAAAAAAAAAATTACACCTTCGAGAAGAATTACTGCAGTCAAACTACTCATGTACGGGAAAAAAGTCATGGAAACTAATCTGAAGATCCAAACCGAGCAAAATCGCCACCAAAAGATAGAGACTGACAAGATGATTCTGACGGTGGGTACACTGTCAGATTTCGACCGTAGAAAAAGAAGTTACGCCTCTGTGAATCGCTAAAAACCTAGGGGGCATAAATTCTCCCTATGACGGCTCTAGGTCTGCAACACGGTGGAAGATACTCCAAGCCTCAATCTCGATGATATCCCAAAACATTTCCATCAAAATACGTACAAACTTAAAGGAACTAGTTCATCAGTTACGCTTCCACTTCGAAGGTATGATCATGCAAGTGTTTCGATGGTCTCCGTTGTTTAATCCTCGCAGTGAGTTACCGTTGCTCCAATGTGGATCCCAATTCCAGAACTTCCAATACGTACGTTTGAGTATAAGACTCTTTTCTAAATCGGAAATTTAATTGGTCGTCCAATATAGATAAACCCTTACACTTTAAATCAGTCTCAAATGAGTAATGCCTGGATTATTGGGAAATCAATATGTTCGTGAGGCAAGGAAAACATAAATATCTCTATTGATCGAAGTGAATGAAAGAATGTTTAATGTCCTTCATGAAAATGTGTCGTCCTTTTGTGTTAAATGTAATCATATGGGGCAGGCAGAGGTTAAATGTTGACTATTGAAGAATCGTCTAGATCAAGCACAGCAGTTGGCGAAGAAAAAGTCCCAAAATGTGAAACAAGTTTCGATCCCCAAAAGTGAGGTTAGAGGATAATAAATAAAGGGACTATCCTCTTCACCAGAGCGAGAGTCGGACAATCAAGGAGATATAACCATGGTAAATTCTCTAGTAGACGATAAAAAAATGAGGTCTCGTGATGGGGCCATTCTTGATTCTCGACTTAAGCTTGTCGATCTTCACCTTGAGATTTCGACTTACATGGAAGATTTGTCCATATTTACTCCCGAGCCACCTCCTCGTGACAGTGGGGAGATGGTTACTATCAAGCTGGATACTGAGGCTACTAAGTTGGCAGTAACGGCGGATGGTGTTAGTGTGATCCCAACGTTGTTTGAATCTATTCCCATTATGGAGGCATCAAATACTTTTTGGCAATCTTTCAGACGAAATATGGATCAGAATACAAGTTTACAGAGCAAGTACGACAATGTGATAGTTTTAGGTTTCAAATAAAGGTGATAGACCTGAGTTCTCAAACTCCGAATGAGAGTATGTCAAATAAAGTGATGATAACCTTAGAACCCAAAGTAGAAAGTATTGATTCTGATGGGATAAAGACATTTGATTTAAAGTCATGTGTGATTTTGGCGTTTGTTTCATAGCCCCAGTACGACATTATCTTATATGAATCGAATGCGTTGATGAATTTTCTAACTTCTTATTTTTCTGAAAACAATATTTCCGAAAACAAACCTCATATGAATCCCTGAGTACACATGAGGAGGAAGAGATCGGATATGAAGGTTATAAACCTAATGACGATTTCAGCTCTTCTGATGACAACTTCAAGCTGGATATGCGAAAATCTTGATCAAAATCTAGAATCACTGCCTACTAATTCCAATAAGGTCTACTAGATCAATTGCTCACTTATTTTAATATTCACATGTTTGCAAGAAATTCTTAGGTAAATAGGTTTTTGTCAGTTAAGTCTTTTGATGCAATTCTTTCAATTTGCTTTATAAAACGACATATTTTACTTAACACAAAAAATATTATGCTCAAGTGGAATGATCAAACTTTGCTAATACATAAACCAAAAAAATAAAAAATAAAAGCGCAGAATGATACCAATTTGAAGCCTTTGTCGTATAAGTTTAGTCTCAACTGCAATTGAAACTTGACACTTGTGATAATTCATTTGACAAGTATGAATGAGATGGAATTTCAGTAGGTAGGTTAAACAGAGCAATTCCATTTCTACCATTAAACACAACCATATTATACTTAGTTGAATTATTCAATTCAATACTTTGAAGCACATAATGATAATCCTTCTCCATATTTCCATTCATACATAAGTCCCTACTACCCTGAGATTGAAATCCAATGGCAATTAGTAGTATCCGTGTATTACACGATCTAACATTTGGCGTTTCTTTCATAGATTAAGAGGGGAATTAGGAATACTTGGTTGTGTCCACAAGGTGAACTAACAATTTGAAAATATGTTCAAAATATCTTTCAAGTTATTTACGAAAATTAAAACAAAATGTAAGTTTCTATGAAATTAATTTTATTTAAATATTGCTTATATATAATAAATTTATTGGGCAAATGGTAAATATGCCCATGACAAGAACATTTAATTAACAAAAAAAAAAAAAGAGATCCAATTTTGTTGTCTTACAATTTTATCCACATCATTCAAACTTTTATTTGCTAATAAGGAAAACTCACTCATATATACTAAAATTGCCCCAACTCCTTAAAACTCTAATTAAATTTCAATTCATGATTTACACCCCAATTTAGTCCAATCTCACAAATCAACCAATTTTGACCATTACTCCAATTTTGACCTCAATTTCGATCGTCGCCACCGCAGACTGCGGGTCTCCGATGTTGACTTTTTTTTTTTTGAAAACTTTGTTTTTTCTGAATTTGTTTTCCAACAAGTCAGCCGTCGTTAACTTTTTTTTATTTTTTTTTTTAAACATAGAAAAAAAATTCATAAATATTATTGTCTTGCCATGCAATATTACTATCCGAGACAATAATATTGTAGTCAAAGACAGTAATATTAATGTATTAATTAATTTTATCGTCTTGACCTGCAATATTTCTTTCTCTGATCGTAATATTAATGTCTCCTGAAGTAGTATTACTGTATGTGGGCAGTAATATTATTTATATTACTGTTTGGGACTGTAATATTAATAATATTACTATGTTGGCATTCAATATTACTGTCTCAGACAATAATTTTGTTGTTAACATAGTAATTTAGAGAGAAAAAAAGTTTAAAACAAAAACAAAAAGAAACAATCAACGCCAGAGACCGTCGGAATCTGGCCGGAAAAAAAACAGAATTTTTTTCTAAAAAATATATTTTTTCAAATAATTATCAAAATGGGGGTTAATGTGATATATTTGTTCAAATCCGGGGTTAATATGTAATATTGATGAAGTTAGAGTATAATTGATAGAATTGATGAAACTATGTATTATGAGGGGTACTTTAGATAAAAGACATAGTAATGAGTTTATTTGCGAAACTGTTTTTCGTCTGGACTTTTGTGCATTTAAGTTCTTTGTCATGGACCTATTTGTATTTGTCCAAATTTAGTTGGCCAGACAATAAACTCACAACATTAAAAATAGATTCTATTATATGAAAAGACAAGTAATTTTAAAAAATAAGTAATATATAATGGGTTAATATGCAATACCCCTGTATATAGAATATATTGAACTAAACTCAGTTCATTTTAATACTTTTTATTGTATGCAATTTTTTGGTAGGAGCAACTTGTTAAACATTGATGTGCACTAATACTATATCACATCAGGGTATACGAATATTTGGAATTTGCTAAAAGTCCTATTGTTCTTCAAACAAGCCTTCATCCCGTCTAATTTAACTGCACTCCATCACATCCCGTCCAACCCTGCACACCGTCAAATCCGTTCCACCCTTGCTCCCCGTTGTTGCCATCATGGAAACTCACATAGACATATGCATAATCTCACACACCTACTTACACACATTACACAATCACAAACACCTACACACATATGCAACCACACACACGTACGCACATAGATTTTGCTTACACTCCTTCCCCTCTGATGTAATCTAATAATCATGGAAATCAAAAAGGAAAAATATGAAGAATTATTTGGTGATGGTGATGGACCAGAGACTTAATTCTTTTTATTCAATTTATTTTAACTAAGATGTTGTAATTAAGGTATGTAATTGCATGAAATGCATGTGTTTTTACTAATTTTTTGCTCATTATGTAACTAAGCTCTGTAAATAAGTTTTCGAAAATGTTTGTGTAAGTTTTGTATGAATTGTGGGATGCATCTATTCTTGTTTAAATTTTTTTACTCGGTACATTTTAACTAAAATGTTTCTTATTAAAATAACTAAGTTGTGCAAATTATCGTCACCGTTCTTGTTAGTTTTATTTTAACTAAGTAGTTGCTTATTAATATAACAGACCTATGCAAATCACCATCACTATTTTTGTTAGTTTTCCAAAGCAATTCCGTTAGAGAGACTCCAAATCTAGCGTTAGATCCAAAGCAGGAGAGGGCACATGAACTTTTAGGAGGAAAAAAAAACGCTTGTTCTTATAATTATAGAGAATATCTTTTAAGGACTTTCACCTAATCTCTCATTTTGTTAAAAATTTGTGAGAAACCCCCAACCAATAAGAAAAGACCAAACTTCTCTCTCTCTCTCTCTCATTAAAAATCTCTCCACCTCCGTTCACTCTCTCTCCCGCCTGCCAATCCTGGCGTCACTCGACATTATATCCAACGACGTAGACATTAATTCATCCGGATCCAACTTTGGAAGTTCGTCAATTTGTCGGAGATTAAAATCTCGGGGAATTTTATATTTTAATTGAGGTATGTGGTTATTTTGGATTTGTTGATTCTGGGTTTCAAATTGTGTTTCGAACTGGGAGTTGGTGGTCTGGAATTAATCTTCATCGTGATGGAAGTTTGTTGTTATGAGCTATAGAGAATTAATAGGTGGCGAGATATTGTACACCACCACCACCACGTCGCCGCTCTCCTTCCAGATTGACACCACTGTCATCACCCTCCTTCTTCCAGTTTCCCTTGGCCTAATTGGATATTTGTCGTTGTTGGAGATCCATTCGCATTTCTACCACAAGATGACTGAAAACGTGAAGGGGTTTTGAGGCGAGACCGACCACCACGAATGTGGCCGGAGCGTCACGGATGTCATATTTGACTACAGTCATATTCGATTATAGTCATATTCGACGTAATAAAATTAACGAAATATAAATTTAGAAAAATATAAAAAAAATATTTAAAAAAAAAAAGCATTCGAAAATAATAATAAATGTTGATTTATGTAAGTAAAGAATATTATTGGAATAAAAAATGCTAGTAGATATGGCAAATAATGAATTTAGGGGTGAATATAGTTCTATTTCATAGCAGTTTGAATGGACTATTGCTAATAACCCCAAATATAATAATATCATTTTTCTTAGTCATGATTGAATATAGCAAAGAATGAGTAATAAAGTGCATAATAGGCATCATGTAAAATTTAAGACGCATAAAATATAATATTTTTTAAACTAAGATATAATATTTATGTCCATATACAATAATAAAGACACTGAAAAAGAAAGGATTGATTTCACATGAACCACTGTTAGATAGTGAAATTACAAACCTCTGACATCTTAGTTTAAAGAAATTGTCTAAACTTTCCATGTTAGACGGTTCTACTCACTCCCCTTTATTACATAATAACGCCATGTATAACTAAGATGTGTAAATTTTGAAAAAAACAAATCATACAATATAACTAAATACATTTCTCGTTAATTTTATTTTCACCAAGTATGCTCAATTAAATTAATGTATAATAAGCACAAAATTGACAAAATAGTATTTATGCATCTATATAATGAAATATGCCATAAGGACGTCAAAACAACGTTCCTTAATGGAAGTTTTGACGAACACATTTATACGATAGAATCTGAAAGTTTTGTTACTAATGGCTATGCGCATTTACAGTAAAAAGCTCAAGAGAGATTCATTTAGGAACTTAAGCAAGCATTAGATATCTTCAACTATTCATTTTCATCGTACAATCAAGCCATTTGGTTTTGATTAACCCTTGTGTATACAAAGGTGTAATAAAAGTGTGGTGATGGCTATATAGTTTTGCACGTTGATGACACATTGTTCATTGAAAACGTCTAAGAGTATTATCGCATGTTAGGATTCGGTTATCGAGTCAATTCCATATGAAAATTTAGGGTGAAACATGCCATATTTTTTTAATTAAGTTTATGAAATATAGCAAGAAAATATATTTGGGCTTTCACATGCAAGGTATACATATACTATCCTTTCTCGAATTAAGATGCAAGACTCGAGACGATTCCGTACTGTTAGAATTTATTTCGTGCAGATATAAATTATTTGTGTCAGATTCAGTTTTTCGTTACTGTTGCGTGAAGTGTTGCAACAGTTCGTGAAGCAGTTCGTAAAAACAGAAATAAACGAGACACAAATTTTAATGTGGTTCGGATACAACTGTACCCTACATCCGCGGGGACCTGCAAATAAAATTTACTAATTTTTAGTTTTACGAATACAATAATAGGACTTAATCAAAATACAAAGACTCCCTCTTTGTTGACGCCGTTCTTGTATACTACGCTGAATTATAAATCTTCAATTTGCAGCACGTCCCTTTCTCCGCACGGTTGAACTCCCTTCAACGCTGAATCCCTCAGTCGGCGGATCGATCTCCTCCCGAGATCTGTTTAAGCCCCTCTCCCGAAGAACCGATCTTCTTTTTGTATAGAAGAAGCAAACTTGTGATACTCCTTGAATCTTGGTGTCTTCACCACAAAGCCTTGAAGCCGGTATATTTTCTATGAAAATCACGTATCACGATGGAGCAATAAAAACGAGAGGAAAAAATATATTTTCTCAGAACACTACTCTCGATAGAAAAGGACGCCAATAAAAACGAGAGTAAAGAAAATATCCTGTGTAAATTTTTTCTCTCCAAGAAGGCGTAAGAATGTTGTGCTCTGCTCCCTTATTTATACGTCATGTTAAAACCTGTAAGAGTCCAATAATTAAAAGACGTATAAGAATCGTAAAGGATATTTAATAATATGATAATGCCTTATCACAAGATTTTCAATCCTAATCTAATTCTAATTTCTATATAAAATAATATCTCAAATATTAATGACAACATATAAACCAAGGAAACCACTTCTTCCTTTTTCTTCTAAAAACACACGGCAACATGAAGACTTGTTGGCCAAGACTTTGAGAATAATTAGACTCCAATTTTGATTCTATCAATAGGAGACCTGCACACAAGAAAGTCTTGGGTTAAAATAAGAATAACTCTTTAAAAGAATAATTCCTATTATATATCAATTAATGACAAATTAAAAGAATTAAAAGCTACAAGGACTCTTCCCTTCTTTAGCTCACGGTATAACTTGTGGCACAAGTTTCATTAATTCTCGTATAATTAGAATCCAAGGGATTCTAACACGTACCTTTTAGACATGGAAAATCTAGACAATTCTAAATATGGGCGGAGTAAGTTTAACAACTGTAAAATTATAGCCATGCGGTTAACTAGCAGACCCTCCAGAAGTAATCTCAACCAACCACATACTCTCTTGCGGTACAAGGACTTAGATTTTCAGTATAGTAGAGATTCTAAAATATCTACCTTGGGCTATACGTTTAGTTGGGATGGAGCCTTAGGTTAAAGGGTATATTAAGCAATCAAATATTATAATCCTTGACTAGAGCATTCGAATTTTCAAAACTGACAGTACACGCGGTATTATTTGCCCCGAATTCTAATTTCCTCTCCAACACTTGCCAGGATTACACTACAAAAAAAAGGTGTTTCGTCAATCCTCCTTTTATGTTGTTAAAGGATTACGACAGTACATAAACGAACTTTGCCGACGACAATGTTGTAAAATTCTAAGTAAATTTGACAATGTACTTATAATGTTGTAGAACGAATGAATGCCCGTAATATAAGATGTACAACAACACGTCAAGTATTTTGTAGTAAGCTAATTAACAATTTTCACTGGCACCTTGTAAGTTGTAATAAGTTTTAGGTTTAAATACAATTTGCACTCCTGTACTATGATTGCTGTCTCATTTACCCCCCTAAACTACGAAATGCGACAAAATGGCCCCTTATGTTACCAGTCAACAATAAGAATTTTGATACCGTTAGTTTGTACAATGTAATTACCTTCTTACCCTTGCTTTATAATATACAAAAAGACATTTTCATGCCATTTATCGAGCCATAATCCGAGAGTGAAAAATTATTTCCCCTTTTATCAAAAATAAAAAAAGAAAGAAATTATTTCCCCATTTTTTCTTTCTTCTTCTCATTTTCAAGATAGTTTAAATATAATAAAAATATTATGGAAATTTTCATTGAAAAATATTAGTTTTGGGGAAAAAGAAAAAATATATTATGAGGAGAAATAAATGATCGTTAAGTTTCAAGAATTAAAAAAAAAATCAAATATTTATGTATTTTATATTTTATTAAAATTTATAATACAATACTTTTACTTTTCTTTAATTATTTTGCCATTTTTATGAAATAATAGAACTTATTTCATTTACTTGATTTTATTTTTATATTCTAATGGAAGGGTAAAACCGTCAAAAAAAGATCAACAATTTTGTTCAAAGTGCCACATCATCCATAATGGATAGAAAAGAAAGACTAACAAATGCTAACAACAAGGGCATTTTGTTGCATTTCATAGTTCATAGGGTAAACGCGACAGTAATTAATACATAGTTAGCTTTATGATAAAACATCTTGACATCGTACACGAACAATAATATTAACATATAACTTTCGAAGATATATAAAAATGTGTGCTGCATTTTGTTATATTATGCAAGTTTGTCGCACATAACAGTTTAGTGTAGTTTTCATATCTTATGCGATTTGCAAGGTATTGAGTAGAGTGCCTTGTTTACAACATATTTCGAGTGGCTAGGGGTTCTTTAAAAAAAAAGAAAAAAAAAACTATGGTAATTTAGTGTGCGAAATAGGGATAATGTGGATATTCAAAATAAAAAAAAAAATGTAATTATATTCGATCTAATTTGTTAATTTGGTTCGATTTAATTGATTAATAATAACAGCAGTGTCCAAATGATCGCCCATCACTGAAGTGAACAAACAACGTGGAACACTGCCGAGTGCTTCATTATTTTCATTAATAAAATCTTTTGCCATTTTGATTAAAAATCACCACCACTCAGAACAAAAAAAAAAACTGATCTTTTTCCGCCAAGAAAATTTTCACCAAGGGAGAGAGAGAGAGAGAGAGAGAGAGAGAGATGGCTTCTAATCTCTCTTCAGCTACATCAAGTTTCTCTGTCACACACTACTCTAAGCCTCCTCCGTCAATGCGTTGTAAGCTTCTTCCCCACTTTACTCTGTGCCCAAACACTTCTTATCCTTTTTACCTGTTATTATTTATTATATCTTGTCAAAAAAGAAGATGGAATTTTCCAAATTTTATGCGAGCGGATTTATTTGTGATATATTACTCAAAATAAGGTTGTCTGAAAATAATGCCCTTCATTGTTGAAGATAAGATAAAGGGACATTGCTCTTTCTTGAATTTCTGTTGCTTGGTTCATGGGCTTTTATTATTTTATTTGTTTTTGGTTTAGTTTAGTAGTAATATGCAGCAGTATAAATGTATTGTTAACAAAAGAAGACATATATAATATTGCATGAATTTTCATTTCAATTCGATAGTTGAAAGGGATTGAAATTACAAGGAATGGGTAGAAATGAATTTTTGTAGTTTATATTGTAGTTAAATAGCTGCTGAAGAGTTTTTGTTTTAGGTTTGAATTCGAAGGCAGTTGGATTGAACATTACATCGAGTTTGGAAGATGATAACTCCTCAAGTGGTAGTTCTGACCACTCATTAGAACTTATCAAGAAAGAGGAGGTCGGTTTTCGTTTTACGCCTTTCTAATTAATACCCTATTTCATCTTCTTATATATTGCTATTTCATCACATGCCTTCAATCTTTATTTGTGATTGATGACCAATGCGGATTCGATTAGGCATATCGTTTTGCTTGGTTTTTATCTGTTTCTTACGCCATGTAATTGTAATACGTGCCTAGTTATTTGATTTTAGTACTCGTCTCGGCAATGCAATCTAACCTAGTAGTAGCTTCAATTGCCTCTCCTATTTGCTTCGACTAGTTTTTTTCATTAGATAGAAGTGGCAAGTAGATTTGTGTACTGACCTTACCTACTATTTATATAATAGTGGAACTTTACAATGTTCTTGATGACTCGTTCATTTCCTCACTGAAAATCGCGGTTCAATCGAGATTGGTGTCCAATCCTATTAAAAACAATGAATTCACTGGTTGAGAATCTCCCTTTTGAAAATGAACTCTTTTCATCTAACAGAAACTTAAGCCGGTGTTCTTTACCTAGAAGTCGTGCCGAGATTAAACATCGGTGAGCAAGTTTTGGTTAGAAGACGGAGATTCTCGATCAAGTGGCTGTTGTTAAAAACAACTTACTAAGCAGCCAATGTTTTTTTTCTAGGCTTAATAATTAGCAGTGATCTACGTTGTTTCCAAAATCTCCGATAACAAAAATGTATTGTCGTTTGAAACACACAGGCGTCTCTTACTAAAATATCTCGGCGTCAGTGTGTGAGTTGTTTATGTTCGACGGTGGCTTTGGTATTAGGTCCAGTAATATCTGATTCCGATCCACCTAAGGCAGTTGCTATACAAACGCCAGGCTGTCGCAACTGTGGGGGAAGTGGTGCTATCATATGTAAGTCGTCTACATTTGTGAATTGGTATCATAAACTATTGATTGTGTAACGCAAAAGTAGTATAGTATACTTTTGGTGAGTTCGTGTATAGGTTCATGAGATGGTTCGTTTGCTCTTCATTTAGGTGATATGTGTGGTGGTACAGGAAAATGGAAAGCTCTCAACAGAAAACGTGCTAAAGATGTTTACGAGTTTACCGAATGTCCAAATTGTTATGGTAATTGTCAACTTCTCGTGATTCATAAACATACTTTTTTTTTCTATCGATCGGTATTTTTTTTTTTTAATTTGGTGGTGATGTGATTGATGCAGGTAGAGGGAAATTAGTGTGTCCGGTGTGTTTGGGAACAGGTGTACCGAACAACAAAGGTCTTCTTAGGCGACCAGATGCAAAACAATTGCTCGACAAAATGTACAATGGCCGGTTATTACCAAATTCTTAGGTAAAAAGTCTCTTAAGAATATTTCATGATAATTGATATCATACTCTAAGGCGTAGAAAGAGACGAGGCGAAAGCTCCAAGGTTACGACATATCCGAAAGAAAGAAGCAAATTTTGCGTGTATGTATATTACTTTGTTTGTTTTGTGTCTAAAAAGGCTACAATTTTGTCGAGAATCGTTTACTCGATTTGCTTAATGGCCCATGGATTGATGTGTTATTCTTCTGCTGGATTATGGATTTTAAGCTACTCGAAAGCGCTTTCGGCTAATTTAAATGGTTATATTACTAAGATGTAGATTTTTATTTCGTCCTGTAAAATTGATAACCACTTGTGTACTACATTTACAAGTTAGTAATTTGGTCCATATGATTGTATTTGGCTATCGGCAGGTCTAAAATTGGAGAAATTTGCATTTAGGCCCTTGGAGTTTTTGGTTATTTGACTTGTACTAGAATAAATGTTTGTTAGTTCAATTCTAGCCCCAGAGTATCAAATTTCAGTTGGTTCAGTCTGGATAAACACACCAAAAAAAAAAAAAAAAAAGATGGCACCGCCAAGTAATGAATAAAGACACGTGTCCACATTTCAATATTCAGTCAGCCCAAGCAACAATTTTTATTAATAGCACAAATTAAGTTGCAGAGGAAAAAAAATAGAACAAGTGGGACGAAAAGAAGAAGAGAAAGATGAGCAGCAAAAAATCGAATTCATCAGGTGAAGCGCCGCCGTACAACGGGGAGGCGCATGGAGAGCTGTACTCGCCGGAATATGCTCTTCATATTAAAACTGATGATCAGGATCACAACAAAAATCAAGAACACAACAAGGTACACAATTGAGCACTAATTAACTATACAAGGCTATTAATTAATCTAGTCAAATATATCTATTTTCTTCTATTTTGACCAATATATAATGTTCTGAGTTCTTTCAAATAAAAATTGTATGATATGGAGTTCATACATATATTGCAATTACTGTATATCAATATGTGATCTGATGGTGTGCTTTGAAGATTGCATATATATATGCATGGAAGATCATGTGTTCGGATGTGAATGTGTATATACTAGTATAAATTGTTGGTATGAGTTTGGCAAGGCATTGAATTAATTTATTTTTACAACTGTTCATAGTGCGGGTTTTACTGGCTCGTGGCTCGCAGTTCGACTGTAATTCATTTCCAATTTTTCAACAAAAAAACCCTCACAACTCTCTCTAAAAAAAATTGAACCATTTTTCGAACTCATTGAAATTGAATGAGCAATTACGACAACGATTTGAGATAAATAATTACTTATTTATGTAAATTTAACATTGTATTATTGTTTAGTGCCCTGATTGTATCGATCATGGGCGAGTCCAGGAATTCGGAGGAATTCGGGGGATACTGGGTATAGGGTGGGCTTTAATTTTCGGGGGTTCGGGGGCAGCGCCCCCAAGATTTTTTTAGGATTTTCTTTTGAAAATAGGAAAAGGAAAAACCAAAAAGAACGAGATTTTTTTTTATTAATTTGCATTCTGGGTGGGCTAATTAATAAAATTTGGGACTTTTTTTGCATTAATTTTGATTTTGGGTGGGCTAATTAATAAAAAAATGGGGCTTCTTTTGCATTAATTGAAATTTTGGGTGGGCTAATCTATAAAATTTGAGTGGGCTAAATAGAAATATAAAATACTATAGGGGGAATTGTAAAATGAGGGCGAACTTGAGTACACCCTTGCCTAAGGGTGGACTTGCTCCAAGTATCGATTAAGGTTATATTTAAGGTTGAATCAATCGATTTCAAAAAAAAAATTGCAACTTTTGTTTTGTGCTACAAAACACGAAACAGATTCATTCATTTCGTGCTTTGTACCACGAAATATGGCACTTTAGATTATTATTTTTTTTGATGCGTTTCGTGTAGATTTCACCAAAACAGAATGTTCGATTTTGATGAAATCTCCATGGAATGTTTCAAATTTTTTATGTTTTTAGGGATTCCGTGTTGGATAACACAAAATACAAGCATGCATTTTGTGTTATTCTACATGAAATGCATGTTTGTATTTTGTGTTATTCAACACGAAATGGACCAACATAAGAAATATTATGCATTTCGTGTTGTGTTACACAAATTGCAGTGTTGTATTTCGTGAACCCAACACGAAGCGCATAAAAAACGTTGAAATTTAACAAAAATGTTTTTATGTTAGAATTAGAAACGATTTCGGTCATATCGATAATTGTTGTGTTTGAACTGATATTATCGGGAAAAAAATCACGATTTGCAAAGTTTTATAATTTGGAGGTTGAGAGAATTTGAAAAAAAGCTCATTTTTTTTCAACAAATGAATGAAAGCGCACTGCAACTAGGAAAAATGCACTATGAATAGTAAACCCGAAGCTTATAGTGATAATATGTGTTGAGGCTTCAATACTACGTACGCCGTGTCTTGGTGATATTAAGTTGCTTTTTTTAGTACTAACTATTATATATGTAATTTGGATAGGAGAAAGAAGCAGAAGCTAAAAGCATCAAGGAAAGAGATAAGGAGATAAACAGGAAGCGGAGCCTCAATTCTCCGTCAAAGCTCTAGTTATCGAACAAGCTTCTGAAGTAGCAGTTAGGGGAGTTTCTCGTAATTTCTCCGTGTGTATTAATTCCTTCCCCAACACTTCCATAATAATAAGAGAAACGAAATTTCGCCTACTTTTTCGAATGTGGTATTTCATACTACACTTCACACAAAAACACCCACGAGTATTTTAAGCTTTCAAGATATCTTCTATCAGATCACATTTTAGATATCTTCGTTAAGCGTTTGGATGACAATCTTAGCTATCACAGTAATTATGGATGGCACAATCAATCGGTGATGTCTATGCAATGTATTATACGTTTACCATAGCTCCACACTGCCCATGATATTTTTCGCAAATAAAAAGGAGATTCTAAATGCACAAAATAAAGGTAGTTTACAATCCATTAATAAACATGAAGAAAAACACGAAATTGAATACCATAAGCCTATAGCTTCTCTAACTTTGGAATTACCTGCAAATGGGAAAATCGGAAAAATCCCAGGTGTTAAAATGTAGTGAAAAAAGCATACAATAGAAAGCTGTTGTAGCACAAGTTTACATATCACAACTGAGAAGATGCACATACTTCAGAGACAAATTGCAATCGCCTAAACATTCAATCGATTATCGGGAAAAAGAACAACACAAATTGATAACTTCCACTTTACTAAAAGTCCAACAGAAAATCCCGACTACTCAAGAAATAATTCATCAACATCTCACTAACGTAAACATAAGTTGTACCAAGTCGTAGAAAGAAATAGGAAAAAACAATGATTCAATGATGCATGCGGGAGGTGTGAAAATTAACTTCCTTTTTTACTTCCTTTTTTCGCTGATAGAATATAAAAAAACACACTAGAATGAGTCAAAGAAGTCGAGATCCACTGTTCAAGACCTACTGAATATCAAAAACCAGAAGCTATGGATTGCCAGAACGAGATTGAAACTTCACTGTTGACTAAATACTATACACGTTTATGATGGATGAAAATATATATGACAACGCGGGATCAAATTTTTGTTTTTCCCTTGCAACTCTCGGAAAAAACAAAATGTTTCAAATATTTCAAGTGCAAGGGTACAAATGTAATTCGTCTGCACTTGAGGGGACATATTGTAGATATTGATATTAAATGATACATTTGACTAACAGTTTAAACTTTTGGTTGAAGTGACCATTCAACAGCTGGGACCGGCTGTAGACACTATTAACATAGCAGAGAGAAAGAAGAAGAGTAGTTCACTAACTCGATTTTTGTATCTAGCATCTTTTGAAAATTTAAACATGCAGATTCTCAGTGATCAACATGTAGCAAGTACACCCACAATTAAATGAAACACCGAACAGTGGAAGCTAACAACATTATTAAACATATAGCAGCATAATCAAGAAAACAAAAATACAGTAAATCTTGAATTGGAAGAATAAAAAAAATTACCGGCAGCAGCAGCAGCTAAATAGCAAGGCGTGGAATCGAACATGGATCGACGAAATCAACTAACAAAACATGAATTTCCTCGGTTGCAAATCTGAGGACTGCTTGTAAAGTTTTGGCATCATCATTGAGTTTGGCGGTAAAGACGAAATACAATGAGTAATTGTAAGCGATGGGTAGACTCCTGAATAGTCTCACCACTTCCACCAACTTGTAATCACTCGACTAACACACACACACACACACACACACACATAATTAGCAAGTTATCCTCCTTACAAGAACAAAAACAAAATTTCAAGGCAAAAAAAAACATACGTGTGTTTTGTTGAAGGCGTTGATTGCAATTTGAACATAAACTATGAAACCTTGGACGGCTGAGGGATCATTATAGCCGGTGAAATCTCGGTCGTAGATGAGCCTAGCCATGGGCCTCTGCATTTAATTTAATTTTTTTTAATTTTTTTTAGGATGATTCCAAACTAATTGGAAAAATAAAAAAGAAGAAAAAAAGAAAAAAAGAAAAAGGAAAGGGAACATACGCCGAACATGTATAGGTAAACGGTGTGCTTAGAGATCCTTAAATCGGTGGGCTTGGGCGAAGGTCGATAATTCACAGATTCATCACGGCACAATTTCTTGACTTGTCTGACTATTTTTTGAATACGTAGCTTGCTCTTCTCCGATTTCGATTTCGATTGGGTTTCCTTGTTCAATTGTTGGACTTGTCTGTGTATCTCTATGATTTCAAGCTTGCGCTCCTGCCTTGCCGATTCCAATTTCCATTTCAACTCCAATTCCTCTACTTTCGATAGTTTCGCGCCGTCGCCTGATCCACGGCAAGCCATCTCTTTCTCTCTTGTTCGTAATTATATTTTATATAGCCCTAGATGCCTAATAAACTAGGGATAAACTCAGGGGGAAATTATCCTTGTGATACTTCTCATCAGAAGAAAGTACTATACTCTTCTTATAAAAAATTTCGGCCAAACAACATTTAATATTTCTAGTCCTGCATTTAGTGTTTTTTTTCTATTTTTTTTTAAACTTTGTTTTTTTAATTTATTATTTATTATTTATATACTTTATAATTATTCTTTTTTTAAATCGTTATGTTTACTGTACTGAAAATAACTGCATGTAATTGTAGTAAACTATAGTCATTCGTAGATATGTTCTTTTTTTTTTAACCAAATTTTTAGTCGACCAATTATGTACACACGGGTATTAGTTCATACAAAATAAATTGATAAACCCCAACAACAAAAAATTACAATTTCAATTTTTTTTATTATAAATCACCTCATAACCAACAAATACAAATAAAAAAAACAAATATATGCATATGTAACCACATTTTACTATATGTAACTAGTAATGTATAATGATGTACAACAATGTATACAGTCTGTAGAACACTGTAACTTGAAGCCGATGTAACTTCAACCAAATTTTTTGACGCCTTCAAGCAGAGGATCAATGTCTTTCAGCAATTGCAAAATCAACAAAAAAAATTATTTTAGTGCAAATCAACAAAAATTAAAGAAACATCAAAACACTCAAAAATCAACAAACACTAAGAGATTAAGCGATAGAGAGAGAGAGCCATAGCTGCGAAATGCTACAAATTTTAGACCATACAAATTTGAACAAAATTACCTTAAAAAAATAGATCTCGACGAGAGGAATCCAACGGTGGGTAACCCATCAAATTCCGATTGCCGGAACACAAATTACTCCTCCGGCAAGACCCACCGTCGTTGAAATATGCGCGGACTGTAAAGTGTTTGTAGAAACAGATGCAACGCTCCAAACTGAATGAAACCACCACAAAAAGAAAGAGTTCGACGAGGGGAATCCAACGGTAGCTAAACCATCGAATTCCAACCACAGCGTAGAGAGTCATGACTCCGGGAAGCAACATCGCCGGTTGGAGATCATGGGGGGCCGGATTTGAATGTGAGAGTTGAGAGAGGAGGAGAGAGAGGACTGTGAGTTGGATAGGGTTTAAAACTAATTTAATGTTTAGATACTTCAAATTGGCCAGGGGAGTATTTCAAATTATTAAAAAAGAAGGGGTTTGCACCAGGATGTAATCCTCTTGGTGGTTAGTTATATATAATTTTCAAATAAGGGGTCCCTAAAATAATGCAATATTATATATATAAGTAGGATACACATTTTTTTCTAATCGATGAATTTCAACCCACAGTTTGTCGTTTTTTTCCAAAACCCCCCAATTTTCCAAAAACTCCAATTTCCGAAATACCACAATTTTTTAAGAGAAAATTAGCTAGTCCTCTCTCAAAAATATTTTTATAGGTTAAAGGCAAAGTTGCAAAAAGCGGTAATCGGGTCGGAGGCGGTCAGACCCCGACTCATGATTAACTGGTGCGACGATGATTAATCGGTGATAAATTGAAAATAAATCGATTTTAAAATTTAATATAAATATATTTCTACATATTATTTATAAATACTCAACACATATATAAAAAGATATTTAAAAATAATTATATCTCCATCAGGTATATATCCTAATAACATAATAAAAGTTTAATAATAATAAGATCATAATACATAATTATCCTTATAAAATATAAATAAAAAAATATTTTTTTTGAATTTATATTTATTCTTGAACATTCCTGGCATACATCATTAGTTCTTGACAATAATAGTTAACATAAACAAAATAAAGCATAAACTCATTTTTTTTTTATTAAAATCTCAACTTTTATTTTGAATTATATAAAAAAAATGATTTTTGGCCGATTTTGCCACCGAGTTTGACCCGCCTTAATGTTTGACCGCCTCAGACCGCCTAAAACCGTCTCACAGACCGATTTTTCAAACATTTACACTATATCGCAAAGGTTTGGGACCGCCTCCGCCTCAAAGATCAATTAATCGGCCGCCTCGGCCAATTTTTAAACACTGGTTAAAGGACACACCACTTTTACCTATTTGCTAGTAGCCCTTGAGCCCGCTTTTCACATCGGTGATGTCTCTGGTCTTCAAAAGGCCGGAAAAATTCATTGGCGTAGAATTCAAAAGATAGCATCAAAAGATGTTCTACTTGACAACTTTGAACCTTCAAGGGTTCTTAAGGCAAAGTGCTCCAGCGGTGGTTGAAGATGATATTGACGCTCAAAGGAGGATTGCCTATTACGCTTGGCATCACAACAACTTTTTGTGTCACAATAACCTCCTAAATGAATTCGAGAACACGTTGTATAATGTCTAGAGCGACATCAAGACGGTGAAGGAGTTATAGGACTCACTCTAGAAGAGGGACAAAATGGAGGATGTTGGTTTGAAGAAATTTATAGTCAGGCGGTTCCTTGAGTTCAAAATGGTGGACTCCAAAACTGTTGTGGAAAATTTCCAACAGATGCAATTGATCATGCTTGACATACATGATGAAGGGATGCAATTGAGCTAATCTTTTCAAGTAGCCACTATTATCGAAAAGCTACCTCCTCAGTGGAAAGAATTCAAGAACTACCTCAAGCACAAACGCAATGAAATGGAGCTTGAGAGGACTTTATCATACGAGTTCAAATTGAGAAAGATAACTGCATATCCAACACAAAGACACGGAAGGTCAAAATAGAGGTAAATGCACAGTTGGTCAAATCAAGTAGTAACAAACAAAAAGCGACAGCAAAGCCAAACAAGGCAAATAAGTTTAAGGGAAGTTACTATAATTGTGGGAATCCAAATCACCTTACAAGAGACTATCGCGACCCCAAGAAAGAAAAGAAGAACCAATCTAAGGTGGTCGAAGACAAGAACGAGCCGGACATGGACTCATCCGGGGGCATACCTATGAGTCATGCTTGGGGTGGCCCTCGCCCCCCATAATTTTATTTTTTTTATATTTTTTTTTATTTGTTATTTATGTAATAGTTAATGCACTTTCAACCAACCACCCTCAAACTTCCAATTTTATACATCAAGATTGTGTCGTATGAGATTATCTTTCCAATACGGTAATTCGAACAAGATACTCCTCTTTCTCCATTGTGAATCTCGATGCACCACTTGACCGACGCCAAAAGTAACATTGATTCCCTCCGTTTTTTATAACACCTCATCTCCTGAAGGTGGGGGTGGAGCCCCTTCTTCAGAAAAACGACTATGACCCATATAGCATTGTTTATTTGACTTGTACAAACGTTCCGACACAGTGTTTTCAGCACAACTAGGGCAAGCAAGATAGCCACTAGTGCTCCACCCCGATAAGTTACCAAGTGCTGGGAAGTCATTGATAGTCCACAAAAGTGCCGCTCGCAAATTAAAGTAATGTCTGGTGGACGCATCAAAAGTTGTTATTCCAGAGACCCGCACAACTCATTAAGCTCATCGATCAGGGGTTGTAAATAAACATCAATCCCATTTTTCGGGCCTTTTGGACCAGAAATAAGCAATGACATCATCATATGAGAACGTTGCATGCACATATTTGGTGGTAAATTGTAAATCATTAGAATTACCGGCCATGTGCTATGCTTGCTACTCAACGATCCAAATGGATTAAAACCGTCTGTAGCCAAGCCAAGCCTTACATTTCGAGGGTCCAAAGAGAATGACTCGTGCTTCTTGTCAAACTCTTTCCATGCATCAGAATCAGCAGGGTGCCTGAGAACGCCATCGTTACATCGAGACTCAGCGTGCCATCTCATATTGATTGCTGATTTTTGACATATAAATAGCCGCTTGAGCCTCGGAATCAATGGAAAGTGTCGCAAAACTTTTTTCGGTACCCTTTTGCGCTGAGAGGTTGAAGAACTCGGTTGGTTTTCTACTGGATTCTTCTATCTTGAAGCATTACACACTTTGCATGCATTTAAGTTGGAGTCATCTTTCCAAAACAGCATGCAGTCATTCTCACACGCATCAATCTTGACATAACCACACCCCAATTTACCGATGAGCTTCTTAACTTCATAAAAAGAGTCGGGTATATTTAAAAAATCAAGTTTTCTCATTAACTGAAGGGTTTCAGTAAATGTATTATCACTCATCTTGCCACGAGACTTAATTTTGTAGAACTCCATGATAAAAGAAAGTTTAGTATATACCCGGCATCCATCATAAACGGTGATGTGGTACTCTTCAATGAGTTTACGAAAATCATCAGTTTCGGGGTTGGGTTCTTCGTGCAGATCTTCTTGATCGTGATGATGATCGCGATGAAGACACGCATGCAGTAAGTCTTCCATATTATCACGTACATCAACAGGTTCATTTAAAATTGCAACTTCGGGAATTTCTGTACGATTAGTATTGTTTATTTCCTCGCCAATGTATTGTTCTTCGGACTCTCCATGCAGAGTCCATCGGCGTTGACCATACAGTTTATCCCAACCCCTCCAAAGTAAATGTTTATGAACGAATTCACGATCCCCCCATTTACGACACTTACAGTCTCTACATGGGCATCTTATTTTATTATCAACGTCACATTTAGCGAAGGCAAAATCCATAAATTCCACACAACCATTTTGATATACTTCTAACTGACGATCATCTAATAAAACTCAACTCCTATCTTTTGGCATGTTTTAATTAACAGGATTACCTAGAAATTGGGAATGGTCACAATTATTAAAATCACAATTATTCTCAAAGTTACATTCATAAACTAAAACTAAATTAAGGTGGTAGTTCGCATAATTCCGAGCAACAATAATTCCGAGCAACACAGGCTCATCAAATCAACATAAAACAAACAAACACACAATTCCGAGAAAAAACCCAAAAATAGTTCGCAATAATCAAACACATACAAAATTTTCAACATAAACAAACAAAGATTTAAAAAAAAAAGGAAAATTACCTTGAAAGGAGGGCAGACGGAGGAGGAATGGCGGCAGACGGAGGAGGAATGGCGGCAGACGGTAACGGCTGGCGGCGGGATGACGGCAAATTAGA